ATACTCTTACCCCCGCCGCAAGAAATCATAGAAAAAAAAAACCTTGTTGCAAACTGAAACAACAATGACGATGATCCTGGATCTTCCAAGAGATTTGGTAGAGGAGATTTTCTCTAGAATTTCATTGAAATCCATGAGAGCAGTGCGATTAACTTGCAGAAAGTGGGACACTTTATCAAAAAGCCGGAGCTTTACAAAGATGCGTTTTGATAAAGAAGTTTCCGCAGCAAGGGAAGGGGAGTCTCGGATGATGGTCGTAATGATGAATAACGATCTTCATTTGATGAGCTTTTTCCTCGAAGGAGATCCATCTACTGAGCATAAAGGCAAACTCAGTTGCTTAAACGGAAACAAAAAGATTAAGATATCACAAGTCTTCCACTGCGAGGGACTACTGTTATGCATCTTGAAAGATGATTCTAGGTTTGTTGTTTGGAATCCGTATTTGAGGCAAACAAGGTGGATCAAACCAAGATATTTTCACCGGGGACATAACGGGAAGTATATGGACAGGTATAGATACGCTCTCGGATACGTGAAAAACAAGAAGAAGAAGAAATCCTATAAAATCTGGAGGTTTTTGGATGATCGTCAAATTGAAAACATCTATGCACCCGGAGAACGGTTTAAGTGGTATGAAATCTATGATTTTGACTCTGATCTATGGACAACTCTTGATGTCCCTTTACACTGGTTCATAACGTTTCATCAGCGTGGCGTCTCCCTCAAGGGAAACACTTACTTTTGTGCTACGAAAGATAACTTAGAAGACGAACTTGACGATCACTTGATCTGTTTTGATTTTGAAAGTGAGACATTTGGTCCTCTTCTGCCTTTTCCGTTTAGCGCTGGGAAAGATGACAATGTGGCTTTGTCTTGCGTTAGAGAAGAGAAGCTTGCGGTTTTACTTACCCACGACGAATCATATGAGCTTAACATATGGATTACGACTAAGATGGAGTCCGAAAAGGTTTTGTGGAGCAAGTTCTTGACATTGGACACGGAGCCTGAGTATCCGATTTCTTCATATGGGGGTTTCTTCATTGACGAAAGAAAGAAAGTCGTCATGGGTTTTGATGAAGAAGAAGATGACTGGTATCACAACAATTACCACACAGTTAGCATCTTTGGAGAGGCTAAATATTTAAGAAAAATGATTCTCCGTGACAAAACCACTAGGAGGAGCACACAGTTGTGCTCTTATGTTCCAAGTCCAGAGCAAATCAAGCAGCCCGCACGAGGCAAAAATGAACGACAGAGCAGCTTAGAAAAGCGTCGATATGATGAAAAGATGTTGACACTTAGGGCAGAAGGAAAAAAAGAGATGATACGCCGCCTAACTAATGTTTTTCGTTCTTTCGTCTTATTTTCAATTTTGTTTGTTTCGTCTTATTATTACCTTTTTTTACTATTGTATGATTAAAAAGTAAAAACAAAACAGAAATATCAGCAGAAATTGTTTCTTTTCTCATGTTGGGATTAGTCATGATCATTGCGAACCGAGGAACCGAGTAAAGTTTGGATTTTCGAATTCAGCCGGTTAAATGTGGTTAACACTCTTCTCAGCAATTAAGCGCAAGCTTCTTTGGTTTGTTCAAAACGGTCTGGTTGATGGATGGGATGATCCGCGTCTCCCAAGTTGCTTCAAAGAATCTCAATTTCATGAGTTGAGACATACTCTGGAGTATTATATATAAAAAAAGATAATTTATCCGGCTTGTCCTCGACATAACCACTGTGTGATTTTTGAGAAGGAATCCACATTCACCAAGAGCAATTATTTGGATCGATAAAGCTCATGCTATGGCTATATAATATCAGTGGACGAGGAAGTGACTTTAATGGACTTTGGTAATGCAATAGTAGTGAAGAGTAGACAATCACCACGTAGAAGGAGCAAAGGATAATGATCACCCGCAATGACTGCATCTTCAAGAAATCTTTCAAGACGATAAAGTTGAACCTCACTTGGCTTCCTGATACTAGTGAACTGGTCAACCTCACATTAACAGAGTTTGAATATCTAATCAAGATGAAGAAGAAGATCCTCGGGAAGAAGACGAAGAAGAACCACCATCACAAAAGCGATGAGGAGGAGGGGGACTATGATGTGAATGAGTTTACAATGTGATTTACACAGTTTGTAAATAGTTTATTATTTTTTCAAAACCTGCGTTTCTTTGCCTCTCTAGAAAATATGTTGGGCAATACCTTAGTATATTTTTTTCATTATAATGGCTGACGAAGCCAAACAATGGCTATTTTAAAAACAAACGCTTGATTTGTTAAACCGGATTCCATGTTTGAAAAAGGGCATGGAAACATAATTGTTTGTTTTGGTTTGTTTCAGGTAAAACTCTAGACGAATTACATGTCGCCAAGAATCACAAAAGCAGCTGTGTCTAAAAGCTAATCCAATAAATTCATTATAATGAAAACTTTTACCTGAAAAATTAAGCTTTCTATGGATTGTTTTTGCTGAGAATGAACAAAACTTTCATAATAACTAAGACATACTGCTTCTTCTGATTTCTGTTTCTTATAGAGGAGAGCTTCCCAGTAAGCAAAAGAAGAAGAAGAAGATATATACGAGAAACTAAGAGCTTACTGATGATGATGATGGAGGCTCTTGAGGCTCAGATCGGGGATTCTCATTCGACTGTCTAGCAGATATGACCTTGTCTAGGGTTTGGTCAGGGACTGTAATCCCTGTGGCTTCCATATCTGCAACTATGGCAATTGCTGCATCAAGTTCTCCAAGGTCCAAGCACAATGTGATAATGAATAATGAGTTTAGCTATGGTGAACCTCCGCGTATTCAAGGAACAAAATTAACTTGATAGTTATTATATAATCCTTCAGAAAACGCAATCAGATGAATTTGAATAACAAGCAGTTTCCAGAATCTAAAGATTTGATGAAGTCAAAACGAAATACCCATTTCCATAATCTGATGTCAAAATGCCCATCACATCATCAACATCTCGAGCTGAATTCGATCTTTGAGCCAGTTTCAATCCATCTTTCACGACACCAAACACCAACAAAATTGAAAGCTTTCGAGATTACCTTATCCTTATTTGTAGGGATGGAGGAAGAAGGTGACGAAGCGAGCCGGAGTAATTCGGTGCAATTCAGTGTCTCCGCTAACCGCCCAATTCACAGTAGCCGGCGTTCTCTTCTCCGGCTAACCAGAGAAGCATCTCGGCCGATGATCCAATTTCTCTGAAAAATGAAACGACAATCCATAAGAAGCAAAACGCATATAACATCGAATGACATAAATAATGATTTTGTATGACTGGAGTTAATTTGACGGGCGGGTGACATAATATCAAATGATGTTAATAATGTTTATGTATCACAGTAGTTAATTTGACGGACAGTGACATATAGGAGACATGCTCTTAATTGCTGAAATTTGCTCAAAATAATGACAAAACGACAATCAAATAACAAGTAAAACGCAACCTACTCGCTCAGTTTTAAATTTTGCCCAAAAATGAGCAAAATCGGTGGACTATAACCCACGAATTAGGCCTAACGCGCGCAACGCGCACCAGGTGCGAGTGGGTATGAATATGTGTTTTCATGCGCGTGGCGTCACGCTCCCTGACTTTTCTTCCGTTAAAGCCAATAAAACCAATAAAAACAACGAGTATTTTATATAGTAAACGACATCAATATTGCATGTTATGCCGTTTTTAGCCAAACTAAAACGACGAATATTTTAAGTTTCGTCAAAATAAAAAGTAGAGTATTTCAAGATGAGATTTTTCAGATGAGTATCAAAATCTCTGAACTTCAGATTTGGCTCGTAGAGAAGAGCCGAGAGACGAAATCAGGTCTGTGTTTGTGTTTAAATGGAGCATAAGTGTAAAGTGATTATGTTTTTCCAGGCGAGAAAACAGTGAATTTGTGATAGAAAAAGAAGCAGAAGCTGTATGTAATGATATTGAAAACAATGGAAAGGTAGTTTCAACCAAGGACTCGGAATGATAGTGATGTATGTGTTGGTATTGATACTCTTGTTGTTGTTTTGTTCAGGAAAATGGTTGTACACAAAGTAACTTAGGCATCTAAATTGCAGGCTAAAAAAGATGCAGTTTTTGATGATGTATCAGAAGAAATCTAAGATATTACCAATGCAGTAACCAAAGTAGACCTAAACCCAAAAAAAAAAAAAATGAGTTACCTGAAAACTTCATTTATGTTCTTGTAAATCAAGCAACAAACGAGAGTAATGTCATCAGTATACAATTCATATGAACAGAGGAGTATGGTGACAATCTCCATTAAAGGAGAAAGCAAAGGACTAAAAGTTTTGTTTTTTCAACGAACATTTCATCTGTGAGCAGTAATGGAAGAGAAACTCAAACAAGATTACAAGATCTCGACTTGTACCTAAACCCTAATAGTCCCCAAAAGCACTCCCTTTTTTCAGTCTAAGAAATCTATGGGATCACCTGCAAATTAAATCAAGGGCAAAGAAGAGGATTCCATTGCGGCTGAAAGACCAGAGACTGATGTTGTCGTCGTCTCTCAAACTGTTAGCCTCAACGACATTGCTCCATTCACCACTCAACAGTAAACACTTGAGGCGTCTCCCGGATTCAGTCTTGAGAACACATTTCTTCAAAACCATATTCCACTGATCGATAATAATATCTTGGAATGGCTCTGGAAGAAGAACACAAGGAAGATTACGTCCAGTTACGAGCATTATGAGAATTATTTTCATCAGAAAGCTTCATCTTCATCATTCTTTTGCAACAACTGGTTCTGCTTCAGATACATAATCGTGCCTGTAAACCTTCTCGCGAAGTTTCAAAGGCGGGAGACCATTGTTAGACCATCAACAAAAGCCCGACTAGATTCTGAAGCCCAGTACTGGCCCACTTTTGTTTAGGGCTTATGTGTCTTCAACTATCATAAATACTCTTACCCCCGCCGCAAGAAATCAAAGAAAAAAAAAAAACCCCTGGTTGCAAACTGAAACAACAAGGACGATGATCTTGGATCTTCCGAGAGATTTGGTAGAGGAGATTTTCTATAGACTTCCATTGAAATCCATGAGAGCAGTGCGATTAACTTGCAGAGAGTGGGACACTTTATCAAAAAGCCGGAGCTTTACAAAGATGCGCATTGATAAAGAAGCTTCTGCAGCAAGGGAAGGGGAGTCTCGGATGATCATAATGATGAATGAAAATCTTCATTTGATGAGCTTATTCCTCGAAGGAGATCCATCTACTGAGAATAAAAGCAAACTCAGTTGCTTAAACGAAAACGAACAAATTAAGATAGCTCAAGTCTTTTACTGCGAGGGACTATTGTTATGCATCTTGAAAGATGATTCTAGGCTTGTGGTTTGGAATCCGTATTTGGGTCAAACAAGGTGGATCGAACCAAGATATTTTCACCAGGGACATGGCGGAAGGGATATGGAGAGGTATAGATACGCTCTCGGATACGTGAATAAGAAGAAGAAGAAGAAATCCTACAAAATCTTGAGGTTTTTGGATGATCAAATTGAAAACATCTATGCACCCGGAGAACGGTTTAAGTGGTATGAAATGTATGATTTTGACTCTGATCTATGGACAACTCTTGATGTTCCTCCACACTGGTTCGTAACGTGTTCTCAGCGTGGCATCTCCCTCAAGGGAAACACTTACTTTTGTGCTATAAAAAAGAACTCAGAAGACGAATTTCACTTAATCTGTTTTGATTTTGCAAGTGAGAGATTTGGTCCTCTTCTTCCTTTTCCGTTTACCGCTGAGGATGATGACTATGTGACTTTATCTTGTGTTAGAGAAGAGAAGCTTGCGGTTTTACTTACCCACAACGAATCAAATCCATATGAGCTTGAAATATGGATTACGACTAAGATTGAGTCCGAAAATGTGTTGTGGAGCAAGTTCTTGACATTGTATACGGAACCTTTCTATCCGATTTCACCTTGGGGTTTCTTCATTGACGAAAAAAAGAAGGTCGCCATGGGTTTTGACGAGGACTTTTATCACCACACACTTAGCATCGTTGGAGAGGCTAAATACTTGAGAAAATCGGTTCTTGGCAACAAAATCTCTAGGATGTGGCCACATGTGTGCTCTTATGTTCCAAGTCCAGTGCAAATCAAGCAGCCAGTCAAAAGAAAAAGGCAGAGCAACTTAGAAAAGCGTCGATATGATGAAAAGATGTTGACACTTGCGGCACTTGAAAACCCAGTCAACGAGCTTTCTCCAAGAGGCAAAAGGAGAAAATGATATTTAAAATCTATCTTTAGCATTTACATAAAGCCTTATTAATGTCTTTCATTTACTCGTCTTCTCTTTCAAATTTATCCCTATTTTGTTTCTGTGTCCCATCTTATGATTTAAAACTGCCTGGATTAATAAAGATATTTTGTTGTTTCTAAAGTGACTTATATAATCTGATCAAGTATGCTATGGGACGAATGCAACGGGGTCCTGATGAACCGTTTGTAGATGAAACCACATTCACCAAGAGCATTTGGATCGATCTAGCTGATGCTATGTCAGTGTGGACTTAGAAGTGACTTTAATGTACTGGGTTAATGCAATAGTTAAACCGGATTCCATGTTTGAAAAGGGCATGGAAACATAAGTTGTTTATTTTGGTTTGTTTCAGGTGAAACTCTGTACGAATTACATATCGCCAAGAATCACAAAAGCAGCCGTGTCTAAAAGCTAATCCAATAAATTGATTATAATGAATAATTTTACTAGAGCTTCCTATGGATTGTTTTTGCAGAGAATGAACAAAACTTTCATAATAACTAAGACAGGCTGGTTCTTCCGATTTCTGTTTCTTATAGATGAGAGCTTTAAGCAAAAGAAGAAGAAGAAGATACGAGAAACTAAGAGCTTACTGATGATGATGATGGTGGCTCTTGAGGCTCAGATCGGGGATTCTCATTCGACTGTCTAGCAGATATGACCTTGTCTAAGGTTTGGTCAGGGACTGTAATCCCAGTGGTTTCCATATCTGCAACTATGGCAATTGCTGCATCAAGTTCTCCAAGGTCCAAGCACAATGTGATGATCTCATCGTACAATGGGCTGCAATTAAAAAGATGATATTTGATTGTTTATAGTCAAGTTTAGTCATTTTTGAATGTGGCTTAGACTAGTGTCCACTACTGGAATTTAACCCAAAGAGTGTAACTGAATTTACCTGCCAAAAGAGTACCCAAGACTGTGTGTCGTCTGCAAGATCTTCAAGAAGGCTGAAGGCATGGGAGCTCTTACAGCAGCTCGTAATATCACCGCACAATCGCCAATTGTTGGAATTCCACCCAATTCAATCACCTACACAAACTCATTATGACGTATTATTATCATATATATTAACATGATAGATCATAAAAAGCTATATAATTATAGTGCTTGCCTTTGTCATGAGCACAATTGCCAACTCGACTTCCCATTCTTGTGACCATTTCCGTGGAGTTTTGTTCTTATAATCCTTCTCCCATGTCCAACCCCAAACATCTGCTATTGTATACATGTCCGACACGTCAAACACTTTTCTTTCCCTCATTTCTTTGAATGCTTCAAATGGTTCCTCAGGGAACCAATCCTCATCTGCATCATCCTGATGGATGGAATCACCATTGTGAAAACATGCTTAAACTATCAAACTCACGAAACATGTGACTAATTAAATCTTAAACATATCATAGGTTATTATACATACACACCTCGAGTGTCATACGGGACGCTCTCTTCCCGCGTTTCTTTGTTCTGTTTGCTTCATCGGATTCTTTCAAGAGTTGTACTCCAATCATTTGAAGATGCTTCTTAGCGTCGGCTGCCTTATTCTTCACTAAATCCTCTCCTTCTGCTCGATTCTCAGTTTCTGCAACCACCACTTCTTCTTCCTCTTCATCCTCCTCATCTCCTTCCTGTTCCTCCTCCTCCTCATCATCATCATCTTCAGCTTCTTTTACAACATCTTCAATCGTGTTCTCTGACTCACCTGTCGCTACTGATTCAGCAGTCTCCTTCGATTCAGCTGATGTTTCAATCAGGCCTTCCCCAAGAAACCGACGTTTCCAGAACTCTGTATCTCCTTCATGTAGCTTGATTCGACGTATTAATTCATCTACTTCTTCATCGACCTATATTAAAAACAAAATTTGTCACATGTGTCAAGTACACAAGTTACACGTTTCCCCACTGAAAGAAAAGAACACATAAATTTACCTCCTCCTCTTCTTCTTCAATAGGAGGAACCCAAAGAGGTCGACCTCGAGATTTGTTTATTCTTCTTGCTTTTTGGACACGCTGGTAAAGAACATTTCTCGTTCCATCAATCGGCAAACCCTGAGCTTCAAGTTCTTCCTTTAACTCTGATACAACCATCTTGCTTGCTGCTTTCGGCTTCAAAAGATTCTGTGCAGGACCTTTTATAATGTTCCGTAATCTCTCCATCACTCTTATGTAATCAGATTCTGATGCATCTCCTAGAACTGGAAGACCTTCACTCTGTAAGGTTCTCAAAAGCTTCCTATGGTGAATTTTCCAATCGTCAAGACACCTCTGTTTGAAAGACGTTTCAATAGGGTTTGAGTATATAAACCCAGAAGCATCAGGATCTAAAGGAGTTTTCCCTCTTCGAGGTACCCAACGCTTGCGCTCACCAGTAAGCCCCCCTTCCTCTATGTACCTGAAAATGTTTACGGACGTCCAATCTTAATATCCAAGACAACATGATGTAAAGGACACCGTACTTCTTTTAGACAATTAGAACAGAGTACTAGCGTTTAACCTGTCAATAGGAGGATAGAAAATCTGATCAACAAAATTCCAGTCAAACCACGCAGGAATCTAGTTTTTACCTTGCTAAATAATCAATTTCATAGCCAAGTTCAGCTTCTTCTTGCAATGGCTCAATCCATGAGCTCACTAGTGTCCGATACTTTCTGCTCATAATCATGGCTCTTGGAGGTATAGGTTGGTTATCTTTGCGCATTGCATCTAAAGCTTCAATAAGCTCAACAATTCTTCCTGGTTCAAAGGTAGAGGGTGTATTTTAAAGACAGTAAATTTGCGAAGGAAGACAAAAAAACATGTCACTAGCACAAGTCCTAAATATCAACAAACGAAGGTAACACTTAAATGCAATAACAGAAACATAGGATATAAAGAACCCACTATAAATAGTTCTAAAAATAATGTTCCATAATCTCCCAGAAGGTGTTCAACATATGCCTCTGCATATTAGAATTTTCACACAGGTACAAGTGTATGCATACCTTCTCGACACAAAGCCCGGAGATACAAAGAGAGAGGATCCTCAAAGTTCCCCGCATTGTGTAAAACTATTGTTCCTCCTTCAAAGTTTTTCAGAGCACGAAAATGTCTAATCGCTTCTTTTACAACACAATATTTCGTGAAGCACTCAACTAAGAGCCTGAAATGGATCATTACACAGATCATATTAGGATTTTTACAATAGAGTGTAAAAATGCATAAATATGTATAAAGTACAAGACAAAATGAAATAAAAATTCTCTTACGCATGAGTCTTCACATTTGGCTGTACACGTTTGTGGTCCTCAACCATCATTCCAAGTAATTCAGCAACATCTTGAACCCTGCGATTCATGCAACAGCCTAGCTGAAACTTTGTCCACTTTTGAGATATATGTATGCAATTAAAACTCATATGAATTACCTATCATATGAATCCGCTCTTGTATAGGCTTGAATCACCCAGTTATATGTCTCCGTATCAGGCTTCATAAAATCTATCAAATCAAGATTACATTAAGCCATGTAAGAAGCCACCGTGCAATAAATTTACAATCAATGGAAGCGGAAATTAGCTTAGGAAAGATATAAACCTTCACCGTACTCCATATTTTCGAATGTAGAATAAGCTACCTCGGGAATCCCACATGTAGCCTACACAACGGAAGAAAAGAAAACCTATTTGATGTCAACAAAAAGGCTTACCATCTTCATTAGACAAAGAAGAATCACGTGTTTACAATCCAAGATACCATCACAAACCTGCACACTAAGAAGACAGTTGAAATGAAATGTCGTCGCCATTCTACCAGCAGCCTCCATTTCGTAAGAAATGTCCAAGGCATTAGAATGATCTCCAGCTTTGCAATCTTCTTCAATCATCAGATCATAAAGCTGATCGGTTGCTCTCATCCCACCTCTAGCACCCTTCAAGAAAACTTTATTCGCATCTTCCAAGTGGTTGGTCCTCATGAGCTCCTCTGCAAAATACCACAAATCCAATTACAAACGATTACTCAGTAACCCCAAGCAAGGTAAACAAAAAAGGAACAAGCATTTGATTGTAACACATAGTCTTGGCAAGAGAGATTACCAACAAGAATTAGCCAAGCTTGACGAATGTCATAGTTAAGCTTCTCCATTGCGGCAAGGAGTTCTAAGCCTCTAGTAGCATTTCCTTTTGAACCAGAGAGTCGAACCAAAGCAATCATCGTTTCAGGAAGCGGACGTTGGCCTGCACCTAGCTCCTTTCTCAGCGAGTGCATCTGCAATCACCCACACACACCAGAAAAAAAAGAAAGAAAACTCTTTATTTTTTACTTGAACGACCATTCACCCGAGAAATTACGAGAGAGAGGAAAGTCCAAATTTGGAAATTTTGTTTAAAAATGTGTGAAGTCTTAAACCATAGCTCAAGTTCTATAAGCTACAGAATCAATTTGAGTCTTCAACCAAAGGCACAACAAAAGCAAAATCAATTTGAGTTTGTAACACCAACAATGAACTATTCTCTTGCATCTAAGAAATTAAGCTATAGGAAAGCATTTACCGCGCCTTGTTCGTCGCCGTTAAGCGCGTGGGCCACGACCAAGCCATGGAAAGAACGTGGTCCAGGGCTAAGCCCAGCGGCGATCATGTCGTAGATAACCTCAGATACGCCTGATGTGTCTCGATTCCTGGCTCGTTCCATGAGCTCGTCCATGAATGTGAGGCGGAGACTCCTCTCCAGTGCCGAGACAGCTTCGCGGCTGCCGAAGGATGAGGAGTCGTCATTCTCCGCTCCGTCGCCGCGCTTCTGCTGCTGCTTCCTCCTCCTCCTAGGCTTCTTCTCCGGTGCAGAAATTGAGCAGCGAATGGAGGAACACCCGGCGGCGCGACGGGGAATCGGGTGGATTGAGTTGGAGGGAAACGGAGGATTGAGGAAGAAGAGAGACATTTTTGGCTCAAGTCTTCTTTAGATACTCATTTTACTGGGGAGTGGATAAAGT